AACCTACTGGGTGTTTAATAATCACAAAATCACTGCTCCACCTATACCCTGGAGGACTGATGGACCACAACTCAAATAATATTTGGTCGGTGGTTGTTTTGTGAATTTCGTGGTTTCCAAATGATCTGAAAGTAAATTTTGTGGTTTCCAAATGATCTGAAACTAAATGTCATGCTTACGGTTGTAAGATTGAACATTTGAAATTCAAAAATCAAGTATGTTTTTAATCAATTTGTACCAAAAAAATTTTTTTCTCTCTATTAATGCACTTTTTTTTTTAGATTCACTTCCAAAATGACATCCGGGTAATTGCAAGCAGGCAAACACAAAACCCTTACCTGAGAAACTGGCCAATGAATGTAAGTCGATGGTTCCTACTGGTAACACATTGTATATGTTAGAAAATGTTATTTTAGCCAGATAGACTATTCAAGAAGACTTGACCAAAAGTCTGAGGTGATCAAAAAAAATCACACACAAAAAAAAAAAAAGAAAGAAAGAAAAAAGCAACTGGCTACGCTACATTGCCCCTAGGTGGGAGTGTGTGTGTGTGTACGTGGTATATTCCCGCCTCATGCTGTGTGTTATCGGGATAGGCACTGAGATCCACCATGATCCTGACCAGGATAAAGTGCTTACTAAAGGTGAATGAATGAATGTTTTACCACATTACGAGATCTACCTGAGGTTTGTGTTTGATGCCAGAGACAAGACTCAGGACTGAACTCAAAACTTTGCCTTCTCAAAAGATAAGAAGTGAGCTCACAGAGACTGCAGAATCTTCCTGGCCAGATCTGTGTGTGTGTGTGTGGGATGAAAAATAAAATTTTTAAAGTGTGTATATCTAAAATGTATAATAATCTACTCTAAAATGTTTGGGGGACACACTGGGGTTGTAGGTGAGGCAACTGAAACAAAAACAAAAGGCCCTTGATTTGTAAAGTGGGCCCTGATGTGGAACGCCAACCAGTCCATAAATACAGCAGATTAATTTTTTGTTTTTTTGCAAAAACAATTGCTTTTCTGTAATTAGTTACCTCCTTATTTGGAGATACTTACAAATTATCTACAAATTAACTAGTCGCACAGGTGTTTTTAACCCATTTAGTCGGATAACAAATAATCAAACAAATCGTCACTTAATAAGCCACATTAAACGGATATCTTGGTATCTTGGTCACGTAAAGTTTCCTCATAAATCCCTATGCCAAGGAAATTGCTTTTCAGGAAAGATTCCAAGTAGAAATCCTCTTTAACTAGCCAAAGAACTCTTGAGGAACCCTTTAGGCAGTTACCTGCAATTCCAGGTTAGCTGCCCATCACCACTGAGTTTGTTCCACCATATTTGACTACAGTTCCCCATGGACACACCGTCTACCCAGAACCCTTGAAATCATCCTTCCCTTCTCTTTACAGCACTTCTGCTTTTATCTATGGTAGAATGTCTTAACGCAAAAACAAAGGAAAGGATGCGATCCATCCCAGGGTACCCAAGTGCTATTAATAATACTTGTGGTTCTTGTAATTTTGCACAAAATGAACTTTGTAGCATGCCTCAGATTTGGGATAAACACCAAACAAAAAAACTTCACAGAGAATTTTATACACATTCAAATAAGATTTTGTTTAATTGTGCATTAAAAGGTACAAAGGTAAAAAGACTATCCCCTGCTCCTTACCCTAATCCTAACCCTTGTCTTTAAAGGTGCATTAGGATTTAAAAAAATTTTTTTTTAAGATTAGGTCCCTAACGGTTAGGTTGGTTCGACACATGAATAATTTCCGCCCATATTCATGCAGCTCCGCCCCCAGAATTTATGGTGGCCCATAAAGTATCTATAATTTGAGTGACAGGAGGCGTATCCAAACACAAACAAGCGTTCCGGACCCGAGTCGGTTTTCCAAACGGGGTTTCTCACTAAATTAATGCTTACGACTTAATCCATTGTTTGTTTGTTTGTTTGTTTTTAAATCATGGTCTATATATCTTCCAGGTAATTTGTACCTAGTAAGGGGGGAAAAATAAACTATTGCACCTATATTCGAAAATCAACTTGAGATCAACGTGAGACTGTGGTGATAAATTTAGGGTTGTTTTGGACCCTTTTGGTCTTCCAGAGTCAGGTCCATTGATCGCGCGCGGTCTCGGAGAGTCTGACCTCTCGCGCCCACGGAAGCCGTGTCCATGGCAACCCCCACTTCGGGCGATTGTGAATTCCTCCCGGGAAAAAGGGGGGAGAGAGAGAGAGAGAGAGAGAGAGAGACGGGATCAGTGCGTGATTTTTCCTCTCTCCTCCCCCTTCCTCGGTGTCTCTCTCTCTCTCTCTCTCTCTCTCTCTCTCTCTCACCGCTCCCTCTCTCCCATACAAACGGCTCGGAGGCGATCATGAGCAGTGACGCGCGCTCCTGTGCTCGCGCTGAACGCGGTGGTCGCTCCTCTTTCGCGAGCCGGACGCTATAACGGAGAGGATCCACGCGCAGGGAATAACGGCCACGCTTGCACGAGCGTTCCTGAGCCTGAACTCCAAACTCAGACCCGGGATAAAAGTCTGGTCCTTTCTTCCTCTTCCTCTTCTTCGGTCTCCTGGTTCTCCGCGCGCGCTGAGATGTTCCTCCAGGCGGTAGCGCGCGCCTGCGCCGGATTGGTGGCCTGCACCCTGCTCGCCTTTGTCCCGCAGCCGGCCACCGCATCCCTCAGCCGATCTGCACAAGGTGAAAGTTTTTTTCTCTCTCTCTTTTCCCTCTCTCTGTCCTTCTCTCCCTCCCATCCTCTCTTCTGTGCGCCCGCGTTTTAGTGTCTGAGAATGAATTAACGACTGGCACGCGCTCGGTACACCTTGCAGGCTTCAGGAGAAGATGGATTTGCAGTGCGCA